TCATGCCCTACCACAGTGATGACGAACCTTTTAGAGCAGCGGTTCTCAACCTATGGGTCGCGACCCCATTTGGGGTCAATTGACTATTTCATGGGGGTTGCCAAGCAAGGCTGTCCGCCATTTTTTTCCCCTTTTCCAGCAGGTGCCTTACCTCCCTTGAGCTGGGCCAGCTGGTGGTCGGCCTGCTCCGTCTCTGCCGCTTGCCAGCTACGCCTCAACCAGTGCGGGGGGCGGAACCACGCATGCACGGCGCTCCCGGGCAGGGAAAGTCCTCGACTTACGACCGGTTGGGTAGTCCTCGACTTACGACCGGTTTAGTCCTCAACTTACGACCGGTTGGCTAGTCCTCGACTTACGACCGGTTTAGTCCTTGACTTACGACCGGTTTAGTCCTTGACTTACGACCAGTTGGGGGTCGCGGCATTAAAAAGGTTGAGAACCACTGTTTTAGAGACTGAGTGCCCAAAAACTGGCCCCACCCCCACTCCATCCCCTGCCCCGCCCCTGCTTCACTCCCACCCTGTCTACCCGTAGGGCCACTCACCGTCTCCAGGGCCCGCCACAGATCACCCAGCAGCGCCATGGCAGCCACGCCCTCTGCCTGCACCCCGCAGCATCAATTGTGCGTGATGGGGCGTGAGGGCAGAGTCTTGTCTACGCTGCCTGGCTGCTGTGTCCTTGGCTGCACTGCTCCACGTGGGCCACTTTTGGGGGCAACTCTTCTCCAGGAGGGCTGCTGGTGAGGAGGGGGTCATGGGGGGAGACAAGGCTGAGGCAACGGCACGTATGCCCACAGAGAGGGCTCCAAGTGCCGCCTCTGGCACCCGTGCCATAGGTTCGCCACCACTGCCCTACCATCAGGAAAGTGTGTAATTGGCCCCAAATTTATTCTGCAGCAGAACAACAGCACCAAACATCATTAAGAACTATTTTCAGTGTAAAGAAGAAAAAGAAGTCCTGGAAGTTATGGTTTGGCCCCCAAAGAGCCTTAATGTCAACATATTTGATTGTGTTTGGGATTACATGAAGAGACAGAAGGATTTGAGGCAAACTACATGCACAGAAGATCTGTGGTTAGTTCTCTTAGATGTTTGGAACAACCGTGAAAGAACCTTGCCAAGCTCCTTCAAAAACTGTGTGCAAGTGTACGTAGAACAGTGTTTCTCAACCTTGACAATTTTAAGGCATGTGGACTTCAACTCCCAGAATTCCACAGCCAGCATTGCTGGCTGTGGAATTTTGGGAGTTGAAGTCCACATGCCTTAAAATTGTCAAGGTTGAGAAACACTGACGTAGAAGAACTGATGCTGTTTTAAAGGCAAAGGGTGATCAAGCCAAATACTGATTTGATTTGGATTTCTCTTCTGTTCATTTAGTTTCCATTTTGTTAATTGATAAAAATAAACCATTAATAATTCTATTTCTGAAAACATTCTTAATTTACAGCATTCTTGCCCAACTGCATAACACTTTTGCACAGTACTGTATGTCCTTGCTTTCTTATTTTTTCTAAAAAATGGGAACTCTGCCCCCTCCTCTTTTTTTCTCTCTGGTGTGAGAATTATTATCTCAGCTTCTTTTGTGCTCACTCTATTATAGAACATCTATTCTCATTGTCCTTGAAAAATAACTGTTTACACTCTGCTGGGAAAGCCTGCCTATCCGAGAGATTTCTATTTTATTAAGGCCTTCTTGAAAACATTTGAACAAAAAAAATGTTCGCCAACATACAAGTTTTAAATAAAAAATAGATAAAATTTGTATGCATTTGTATTGTATGAATTTCAAATAATCCTAAAGAAGGCATTCAAATAGTTAAATCGTCCATGTAATTGAATGAATTGGAAATTAATTTGCTGTTAACAGACTTGAAAGAGAAGGAGTTTTGCTTGAAAACTGGAGACCTGCTAGAGGAGGCCGAAGGGGCCATTAACAAACTGGACCTTCTCAGGCAAGCTGATGGAGTTTGCAGAATAGAGCTATGACATGCAGCTAGAACAGAGTTTCCTCAACCTTTTCAGCTTGGTGAACCTGTTTCACAAGGGGGGAAATAATTATTTTTGCTGAAATATATTTATCAGTATTCAACTGGGAAGATATTTTTTGTATGGTTAATATTTTATTCTATACACCTTTTTTTTCTTTGTGTCAGTTTTTGTTTTGTATTCTTTTGTCTGTATTTTAACTTTGGAAATAAAAAATTATGAGGAAAAATCAGTTTGGCATGGGAAAAAGGGTCAAATCTTTTTTGTTAGAAATTCCATTTATAACTTTCTGATGTAATTGTTTCCACAGATTTAGTATTTTTGAATCCTAACACTGTCTATCTAACCAAAGGTGCTATATATCAGGGATGTCAAACTGCTGGCCCGCGGGCTGGATGCGTCATCTGGAAGCCGCACCCACCCCATTGCCAGCAATGGCAAAACCATCCCGATACGTTGCATGATGTCATGTGACGTCGCGAGTTTGACATGTCTGCTATATATGTTTATTCCAAGGTTGTCCAAGTCAGAAAATTAACAATTCTAGCATTTAATACTTCACCATAAATATAGTCCTCGACTTATGACTAGTCATTGAACAACTGTTTCATGAGACCTTGGAACAGAGGTTCTATAACCCATGAAACACTTCCGGCTCATGTAAAATTTTGTTCCCCCTCCCAGTCAAATGACCACATTTTGTGTACTTGGCAACTTGTTTGCATTTATGATTGGTTTCCAAGTATACTGTTCATGTGATCACCATTTGCATTCTTCTCTTACAGCTTCTCCAGGACATCAGTGGAGAAGCTGGTAGGGAGACATTCAAGTGGAGGGATGTTCGATTTGAGATCCATTCTCCCAGGGTGCTGAGGGATCTTCTCCCACCTATAGCAGGGAAGGGAAACTCTGCCACATGCTGGGGCAATGGACTTCAAATCTGGTGAAAACACTAGCAAATGCCAGCATTCTGAACCTTTCAAAATGGCGGTGTTCACAAGCTTTTCATGAGATTTAAGGTCCGTTCTTTTAGCACACCAAGGATTGTCCCTCAGGAGTAGAAATCCATTGTGTTACTGGAGCAATTAATCTCAAATCTGGTGAAAATGCTAGTGAACACCATTGTTCTTGAGATCATACTTCCTGGTTATGTGACAAGAAGAGTAGGAACAGGTCAGTTGTTTCAGTGTTCTATAATACTACCATTCAGAATTGTCTAGTAGTAGTTATTAAAGCATTCTGTCATCAATCTTCACATGAAAATGATTGAAGCTGAAGCCCTCATCATCACAGCCCTACCTAGTTTTTGAACTTCTGGGTTTGCTGATTGTCCTGGTTTTGGTAATATTCATTTTGATCAAGAGTTCTAGAGATGTCTGGTGATGTCAAAAGCTTAAAAGGCGACACAGGGCAGAATTCACTGCAGGTAATCTAAAATCTACCACTCTAACCATTTTGTGATTTTACTGACATTTCAGTATAAAACCAAAAATATTTTCTCATGTTTCTACTACCTTTTAGCACAGGCCTTATACTACAACCTGGATGGCTTTGTCCAAAAAAGAAGGAATAACTTCAAAAACAATTTAAACAGATTATTTCCAACTGTATTATTTTTCTTTATAGGCTATATCAATCCTTCTCAGAGATAAAAAGTATTTTCAGAAGGATAATTTTGAGGCGAAGAAAATGAGAACAAGGGAGGAGAACACACAAAGAGAAGCGTTCTCTTTCTGCCTGCTCTTAGATGGGTCTTAGTTTGCAAAAAGTTTTTAAGTCAGGTTTTTAAGATTAATACCTATTGCTAAAAGCAATATATTATTTTCTTAATCAGCAATAAATTTTGCTTCCTCCATCAAAATTTTAATTCAAAGACCCTTAAGAATATATTTCTGCCCTGTAATT